AGGCACTGAGTGGGTGTTCAATAAATGCTGCTGCCACCGTTGTCAATATCCATCGCTGCTCCCCAGCAGATCTCCCGTCCCTGACCCTCAGAGCGCCTGCTGCAGAAGCCAGTCAGTCACTGCTCCAAGGATCGCCTGGTCTTCATGCATCTGGGCTCCCAGCCAGCCTACCCCACAGGACATGCCCAGGCATGTGTCCCTCACTCACACTGGGCTGTTGCCACATGCAGACATGCAGGGACACAGGCAGAAGCACACCTCTGGCAGACTTGCTCCTCCTGTCCTTGGGTGACCCCCTGACCCCCAAGACAGGAGACCAAGGGCTGAAGAAACTGGCTCCTGACGGGGACGGCTCCTGCAGGTGTTTTGTATGTTTTTCTTGTTTCTTTGGTTAGGTGCTGGGGACTGCACACAGGCCCTCGCACAGGCTAGGCAAGTGCTCTACCACTGAGCTGCATCCCCAGGCCTTATCTGCAGTTTTATTTTGAGACAGGGTCTTGATAAATTGACCCGGCTGGCCTCAAATTCTCCATTCTCTTGCCTCAGCTTCTCAAGTGGATGGGAATTACAGTCATGCACCACCACGCCCAGTTTAGAAATGACAAAAGCAGGAGCCTTCCCAGGAGTCTCTAAAATTACACTCATGAAAGTCAAAGGCAGAACACCTAGGGTAAAATCAGACCGAAGAAAAGATTTGGGGTAGAAGAGCAAACAGCAGTCCCCCCAATTTCCTACACTATGAAAGTCCCTCCTCGACATGAAGCCAGAAAAATACTTGTGGTGGCATTCCCAAACCTGAGACCTCTAAGCCGACTCTGTCGTTTGCAGAGTGACTTTGACAAGTCTCTCATCATCCAGCAAACCACAGTCTCCTCATCAAGAGCAGCAGCGCACATCCCATGTCCCTCTGAGAGAAACCTTGGCCATGTCTTCGCCCCAGCTGTGCTCATGAACTCATCGCTGAGTCCCTGAGAGCCCACCCTGTGCCAGAGCCATCGGGCCTGGGGAACAGAGGCCAGAGTTTGTTGGAGTCTCACCTCTCAGTTCTACTGGAGTCGTGGGCACCACACAGTGCAGGCCAGGGGCTCAGGGAATGCTGGGAGCCAAGGCAAAGCCTCCACCCAGGAACTACAGGGAGCTCAGGTGGAGAAGGTGGGGAAACAAAGACAGGGAGGGCATTACAAGAGGCTCTCCTGATGGAGAAGGGGGAGGTGAAGCCCGAGCACCGGGTGAGAAGGAGGGGACCACCGGAGGCCCCTGTGCTTTAGGGAAAATGTCACACTGGCTTTCCCACAGGGCCAGTCAGGCAGCAGGGGTATGCTGTAGAGCACTGCAGAAATCTAGAGAGGCACAGGGGCCAGCACAGGGTGGTGGCAGCAGGAATAGAGAGGAGGAAGGGAGAGGAAGTGAAGGGAAGCCGGCCTAAGTGTGTGCCATTGCCTAAGACCCCACTGCCACATCAGGCAGGCGAACTTCAAGACCCTGGTTCCGCCTAGCAGGCGCAAGGCCCGGGCCCATCCCCAGTGCCACAGAATAGAAATAAGGACCACTGTTCCCCGCTTGCCACTCTGCTGTGCAGCTTCCAGTCCTTGCTCCCTTGAAGAACAGCCTATGCGTCCCCAGCCACTGGAACCATCTGGAGAGCTTTCAAAATGCCAAGGCCCAAGCCCTTCTCCAGACCCAGTAAATCCCAAGCTCTGGGGGTGGGGCCCAGGTGGCTGCAGTTTTATTTTTATTTTTTAAGCTCCCAGGTGATTCTAAGACATGGACAACATCAAGACCCAATAGGCAGGCTGTTTTTGTTGTTTTTGTACTGGGGATTCAATTCATGGTTCTTTTGCCACTGAGATACATTCCTGGTCCTTTTGCTTTTGAAACAAGAGTCTAGCTATGTTACTAAGGCTGGCCTCAAACTTGGGATCCTCCCACCTCAGCCTCTCGAGTGGCTAGGATCCCAGGCATGCACCACTGTGCCCGGCTGGACAGGCATTGTAAAACTTCTGGTCTCTCAGGAGGATGGCGTTTTGGTGCCTCTGTGGACCAGGGCACCCTCTCCCGGCCTTTCTCCTGCTGTTCCTGTATCCCAGAACTGTTCCCTGTCCCCCATCTTTCTGGGACAATTGCCTACTTACCCCCCGTCTTGGTTGAGGCATTGCCTCTGTGGGGACAAGTTCCCCAAGTCTGGACATGGGCCCCTCCTCTGCTGTCTTGCCTGCTTACCCACAGGACCCTGCCCTGACTCTTGACTCCTTGGGGCGGGGATTGGAGCCTAGCTATTGTATTAATCAGATTAAAAAAAAAAAAAAAACTTATTTCCATTACAGTTTGCTTCTTCCTAGAGCTCTATCTTTTCACTAGGACTTGGAATTAATCCAAATCTATAATTTGAATTTAAAAGGTTTTTCCCTGTGCAAGTGGAGTGTTCGAGACGGGGCCAAGGATGGGTGAGTAGAGGGAGGAGGAATCATCACCAGGCAGGATGGGGGCTTCGTACCCAGCCAGCCTTTGTCATGGCCTCTAGAACTGTCTCCCCACCAAACTGTCTCCGCACTCCCTGCAGCCGGCCTCTGTATCGGGCCCCTGTGGCCCCTGGCACCAGGCAAGGCCGCACGCAGAAGGATGGGCGAGGTCTTCCCTGGGGAAGAGCCAGTAGGCCCTGTTGGGTCCTGGTGAAGGAAATGCTTTAAATGTGACGTCCCTGGGGCTGGGTTGTGGCTCAGTGGTTGAGCACTTGCCTGGCATGCATGAGGCACTGGGTTCGATCCTCAGCACCACATAAAAAAAAATAATAAAGATATTGTGTCCATCTATCTTTTTAAAAAATGTGACTTCCCTGAAGGCCCCAGGGACCCACATTGGGGACTGTAATTAAGCCCCCAGCAGGCAGGGTCCACACAGGTGCCTCTGACCCTCAGCACCAGTGGCCACTCCAGCCCTGCAGCTCCCCAGAGCCCCAAGCTCTGGTGCTGTGTGAGGCTCAGAGGTAAGACGAGGGTCCAGACAGTGAGCTCAGCACCCAGGGAGCAGCAGAAAGGCCAAACACACACACACGGGGATTGGGGTTGAGGATCAGTGAGCCCCACTGGCCCTGCTGCCCAGCCAACAGCTGACCCTCAACAGGCTCCCAATCCAAATCCCCTCCCCCCTTCTCCTTTCCGCTCCCTCCCCTCCCCAAAAGCACCACCTCTCTGTGACTTCCTCATTTCTATAAATAACCTGCCATCCTCCCAGCCAACAGTCAGTCCTTTTTTTATTTCTCCCAATTCTCACCCACTTGTCCCCAACCCTGCTCACACAGCGTCCCTATACAAAGTGACCTTGGGTAGACAGGCCCCTTCACCCTCCTCTCCACCCCCACTCTGTGCAGTGGCCTTCCTCCTTGGCCCCACACCACCCTCTTCAGGATAGTCCTGACCCTGTGACTCCACTCATCAAAGTTTTCTTGGGACCCCACGGTTATTGAAGAAAATACAACCTCCCACAGTGACATTCAGACTCCACAATGTGGCCCCCACTTTCCTCCGTGGCCTGCTCTCCAAACATTGGTCCATATTCTGTGCTCTGCTCAGATCCCCAAACAGCCCTGTGCTTTTGTGTCTGCTGTGTTCTCCATTTGGAAGAAATGGCATCGTTCAAATGTCAGAATCCTGCTCATTCTTTGTGGTCTTCCCTGGCAGCCACTGCTGACCCCAACAGCATCCCCAACACCAGTGCCTCTCCTTCCTTGCATTCCCATAATGCCTAGCTAGCAGTATGGCTCAGTAGAGAGTCCCCAGCCTCTGTTGTACCCTGGTCACAGTTTAAACAGTGGCATTGTCCTTTACTAGCTATGTGATGGCAAGTTCAGTGCCTCAGCCTCTCTGGGCCATAGGCTCATGCCTTTCAGGGTTGCTGAGAGTACTAATCGTGACAACCTGTAGCACAGTGCCCAGCACATTTTAAGTGCTCAATAAATAGCAGTTTATTAAAGTCACCTCTGAGCTGGGCACTGTGGCACATACCTATAATCCCAGCTGAGGCTGAGGCAGAAGGATCATGAGTTCAAGACCAGCTTCAGCAAGGACGAGGTGCTAAGCAACTCAGTGAGACCCTGTCTCTAAATAAAATACAAAAAAGGGCTGGGGGATGTGGCTCAGTGGTTGAGTGTCCCTGAGTTCAATCCCTGGTACCAAAAAAGAAAATAAATAAATAAAGTCACCTCTGTCCCTTCTTCAAGTGGCTCAGCTGAGCCAGCTGTCAGTGCATCTGTAGACACACTTGAATGGACATCTCCTGTCAAGCCCTGCTGCCTCCAGTGACCTTGGGGACTTTCTGAACCACAGCCTGAGGACCTTCAAGGTGAACGTGCCTCTGTGGCTGGAAACACTCCGCGGCCTCCTCGTTGATCCCATCCCGACCGAGGCACACCCCTCTGAAGCTGACTTGCACATCCATTTGGGGGCAGGATGCATTGCCGGCCCCCCCCACACCCAAGCTGCAAAGTGCTTCCCAGAGCTGTCAACCCTAGCTCTTCAAGTGACTTTAATGGTGGAAGAAAAAAACACCCTGGCACTTGGTTGATGCTGAACGGACCTGAGGCACTGGTGCAATCACACCGGCTCTGCTGCAGCCCGAGGTGCCCTCCCAGACCCTCAGGCACGGATTTAGTGAGGATGTCCTTCTTCAAGGACAGTAACGGTGATGAGGCCGCTTTCCACATGGGACCAGAAGACAGATGCTGACAAAGCCTTATGCCAAGGACAGGGGATATTCGGGGACAGCAAGAGGCTCACTGTACCTCAGGGCAGGGGACAGCCCTGAGTGCTGGGGCCCTGCCTGGAAAAGCCCAGGAGGGAGGCGAGCTCAGCTCGGGGTAGCGTCCTCTGATCCTTGGAGGAAGGGATGCTTCCGACCCAAGGCCACTTTGTATAGTCTCCCAGGAGAAAAGAGCCCATCCGTGGGGCCCTTTGTGACCTCAGCGAATGCAGAATGGGATCCCAAGCCTGATGGCACCAGAGAGACGCGAAGCAGCACAACCTTGTGGTTGTTATGTCTGTGTCCTGCCACTCGGGCTGGGCCTTGCTGCGGTAAAATGCCAAAGGTGAAATGCCTGGCGGCCCTTCTCGGAGCCCTGTGAGTGCACTTCTTTACACCCCAAGTGAAGCCCATCGAGGGGTTCGTGTGTCCCTGGGACCTGCTCTCCTCAGTCCCAGGGACCAACTCCATATTCCTGATGGTCTGCAGCTAGAGGCTGGGCAGGGCAGCGGGACCCAGGTTCTGGGATGCCACCTGCAGCCAGGCCGCCCTCCTTCACCTACGCCTGGACAGGACAGGAAGGACCCGGCCCACACTCTCTCACTTCCCCTTTCCTGGAACAGAGGGGGCCGACGTGCCCGACGTGGAGCCCGCTCTGCCGCTCCTCCGGCTCCTCCGGCTCCTCCAGTCCGCTCTTCTGAGGACCTGTCCCCTCTCACACTCACTTTCTCCCCCCACAGAGCTCTCTCTTCTGGTTTCTCCCTCCTGCCCTGTCGTCCCCTTCCTCCCAGCTCTCCCAGGCAAGCCTCTGGCTTTCTGCCCACCCCGCCTGTCCGGGCTCCCTCTGTCCTTCCTCCTGCATCCGAGTCTGGAGGGCCATCCTCCTTTTCCGGCTCTGCTCCTCTCGCACTCCTCCTTCCTCAGTTCAGAAGAACGCTAGCTGAGACACCCCTGTCCTCCCCCTTTGCCGCCCAGCCTCTCCCTCCAGGCACACAAAAAGGGACAGAGGCACCAGATGGCCCGATGCTAACAGAGGGGCTCAGGGAGGCTGCCGCCCACAGCGGCCCCCGCCGGGCCTTGGAGCCATCCAAGCTGCTGCCGGCCCAGCCGCCCAGCTGGCAGAGGAGCAGGGCACGGGGCCAGCCTCCGCAGCACGAGGCCAGCTCCCCTGCCCAGCCAGCCCAGGCCAACCCAGGGAGGGGCAGGGCTGCCAGCTGAAGAGCAGAGGGTGTCACCAAGCGTCTGGGCCTTGCACACCAGGGGCAAATGCCCAATGGCTGCGGGGACCCGGGCTTTCCAGGAGGGTGGAGAGGAGTGACCGGCACTCTGCTTTTTTGGTGGAACAGGCTGTGACAAGGAGAGGCCTCAGCAAGGGGTGCATGAGCCACAGAGGAGCAGCTATCCCACAGCTCGCCCCACACAAAGAAGACTGAATGACACCATGTAGGATGCAAATGGCTCCCCTTTGTGCCAGTGCACAGCAGAACCAGGTGCCGCGCTGAGTCACTTACTGCAATATTCCTAACCCTTCAACAGTCCTGCAGGGTAAGCATTTTGATCCCCATTTTACAGACAAAGAAACCGAGGTTCAGAGAGGTTAAATGACTTGCCCCGAGCATCATAGCTGGCGAGCCAGCGAGCACAGGTTTCTCATCCAGTAAGATTCCATAAATCCTGCTAAGGTAACGGGCTCCTACAGAACCCACTAAGGCCTGCAGGAAAGTTGCTCAGGGCAGGGAAGACACCTCCAGCCCTGGTGGCCCATCACCTGCCTGGGGGACTTTTTAAGCTTCACTCTTCCAGGCCCCTCCTCTGGAGGTTCTGAGGTACACGCGCCTTTCTGGAATCACAGAAAGGAGCAGGAACCTGAGGCATCCCTCAGAGCCTCTGGTTCCTAGAATAAAAAAAAATGGAGGTGAGGTTTTCTTCACCAGCGTGCTGTGAACACGTCGGGGCTTGGCCTAGGGCCGGACACACCCAGGTGCCCTACTGGGTCCCCTCACTTCCCCCTGGGCCTGAGGTTCCAGAGTCCACACTTGAGAGAGCAAAAGGGAACATTGCTCTTGTTCCACTGACCTTTGACTCATGCCTTAATAAAATCCCAGGCGTTCCCTGTGCCTCCATCACCACCTCCCACAGAGCCCCAGCACAGACCCACAGGCAGCCAGCGGGCGGCCAGAGGAACACAGGAACCAGGAACAGAGAGCGGGGATTTCCGGGAGCCGGACTCTGCGCTCCAGACTTTGATAGAAAGGACTGGAAACCGGCCTGATTCTCCACCAAAGGTCAACGCCAGACTTGCCCAGGGCTTCTGAAAACCTCTCCCTCTTCAAGCTGTTCCCAGCCTCCCTCCTCTCAACACCCAAGCACAGACGCCCAAAGGCACCGAGACCAGCCCCTAGGACAGGGACGGGCTTGACCCAGGGGGTGACCCTCCCACCCTGGTCGGCCACCCTCAGCCCTCAGGCCACCCTCTCCCACCAGCCTAGGCATCACCCAGCACCCCAAAACCCTCTTCCC